AGAGAGAGAGAGAGAGAGAGAGAGAGAGAGAGAGAGAGAGAGAGAGAGAGAGAGAGAGAGAGAGAGAGAGAGAGAGAGAGAGAGTAGATAGATAGATAGATAGAGAGAGAGAGAGAGAGAGAGAGCGCGCGGGGGGGGGGAAGGGGGAAATAAGTGGTTTGTATCTATAATACACACAGACCAGTGTATCAGTTCCTCACAGATGTTACTTCACAGATGTGCAGGTTTTTTACAGTTTTTTAGTCTGACTCGGTCGTGGAAATAGAATACAGCAAATAATAAAAGAAATGCGTCAAAGTCACACTTGGCCCATATTCTTCGGGGACAACTAAAAACGTGCATATAACAGATTTATGATACCTATAAAAGAAACATAACTCGAAATAACGTTGTATATGGTAATACCCACTTTTGCAACAGGGTAATATCTTATTATAGGTGATATGTGTTTTATCATAAGGACACATTATTAATTTATTAGTCCGCCTCACACGTATTAAATAATAACTACATCCAATGGTATATATATATATATATATGAAAAAATTAAATGGCTATTGACAATTTGTGGTACAATTATCAGCGGAAATATGCATGCAATTCACTACAGTTCAAGCTAGGTGCCACGAGCAAGATGTGACCCACCGATTTTATATATGTAGATGTGCGTGTTTATGACTACACGTTTATAATACATAAAATGAACATTTTAACATATTTTTGATAGCCAATGAGGGGGAAAAAAATTTATTCATCATTTATGATATATATACGTGATCCTTTAATCTACAGACGTGCATGGTCATGCAGGCACCGACCACTACAAATACAGTGCAACAGTCACTGTCAACAATATCTAGTGTGAGCAAGTATACTACTACAAGCATCTAGATATAGAATCAAATATAGAATCTGTATTCTATATCTATGGTACAAGCTACAAGATGCAGTGTCATTTTCCAACCTAGGTGCCTGACAGAAGCAATTATATCAGGAGCTAATAATGACAAATTTGTCATTATTAAGCTCCTGATTAGTGATTATATGTAAACTCAGGGCAACGCTCCAAGGGTTATAAATATCCTGTGCACGGAAATGTTTCTGTTTGGGACTTGCCGAAATGCACTATAGTTTTTGTTCAAGTATAAACGACATTTTCTGTAAAGTAATGCCTCCTAGGGTAATAATATATCTACATTAACTTTCCCATTAGACAAGTTGGGTGGATATTGTTCACGCAATATAATGTCTCCATAGTTTTTGCTAAAAGACAGATCTATAATATCATATAGAACTTGTGAAGAATCAATTTTGTCTAACTTATATACAGTCGGCAAGCCTGCCATCCATGCGCGCACCATTTAGCTTAGATACAATAATGTAACCCAAACACAGGATAGGGGTAGGCCCCCTATCCTGTGTTTGGGTTACATTATTGTATCCCCCGAACGAAGAACTATGGGTTTGGCATCGTCGCGCCGCCGCCGCAGAGATTTCATTGTGAACGCTCTACCGGCTGCAGTTCTTCTCGGATCATTTTCAAATTTCGCATGAAGGTGCCTT